AAGATGGTATAGATGGAGGTACAGAACTGAAGAACAGTTGTTAGATGCTAAGTCTCCAAGTGGGAGATTGTTTTGAAGTGGAGCCTACAACACCCAAATCACCCTCCAGGGTCCGACATGGCATAGCCATGCCTAAACTGGTGTTGCTACGCCAAGCAGCCTGACTACATCGCAACCATGCATGGTTACACTGGTTAAATCGCTCCTTCAGATTTTCTTCCTAAGCACGCAGAATAAATTACACATGGTGACGACATGGCTATGTCTTCGAACTGTTCCCTCCTGTTCGATTCTTAAGCTTTGATTAGAACGACGAAGGTTACTCTCATGTGTGCAGTATTTCTAGACAGGGACTTCTTCATAAGGTGGGTTGTCGGGAGGAGGATTTCGAACCAACGAATTTCTCTTTTGAGATCGAGGGAAAGGTTGGGAAAGAAATTTTGTAAGTTTTTGTGCTTGTAGAGACAAAATTCGAGTGATTTAAACTGTAAAGTTTCTAGCATTCATAATAAAATTTTTTGGTGTTGTAGCTCCGTAATTTTTTCCTATTCTCGAGTTTTTTCACATAAATCATAATTCTACTAAGCTCTATTCAGTGTTTTGTTTATGTCATACACTAGTAATTGCTTCCATCTCTCTTTGTAAACAACCATAGAGACTTTAAAGAAATGCTAACCAAAAATTTAAGTCGTGCACTTCGAATTGCCTATAAACTTAGTCCACCACCTATTGAGAGTCATGTAAACTCAAGCCTTTCATGCCAAATAGCATTACCTCATACTCTGCTTGGTTATTGGTTGCATTAAACTTAAGCAAAAGGAACGGATCAAGTCATCCCTTGAATACACTTCAAATCGATGCAGACTCCTTTAATTTCTCCAAATCAATGTAAAGAACCAAGTACATTAAAATGAATAACTTTTTTTCTAGATTCAATGATCAAAGCATGAAACATGGTAAGACTTTTACCAACTAGAGCACTCATGACTTATACATCATATATATACATATATTATTTGCATAAATTAATCATTTATTTAAACAAATTTAAATTACATCAAATAATGATTTTCAACAATATAATGATACATTTAATAAAATTAATGTTCATCTATCCAAAAGAAAAAAGTATAAAAAAATAAAGAATGAAGTTATGAAAAAGTGCTAAAAAGCCAAGAATATTCATCGGCAGACAGACTAGAAACTAATAGGTACGGGCAACGTCAAGTGAAAGAGTGAAAAAATGAGGCATGAAGAAGCAATCTCAAAACAAAGCCATAAAAATCTAAACTAGGTCGTCTTCATTTTGAGCTAGATCCAAGGGAATAGTGTACAATGAAGCACAACCGTGTGGCACGAGACTAGGGCTGTCAAAATGGCTCGTTGTTCGCGAACAGCTCGTGTTCGGCTCGTTAAGAAGCTCGTGTTCGGCTCGTTAATTTCGTTCGATAAGTTAACGA